CACACACACACACACACACACACACACACACACACACACACACACACACACACACAGGATTTCATCACATCTTTGCCTGCCAAATGCTGAATGAATACATTTGGTGGAGCAGCATTATTGTTTTGTACTCCCCATGACTTGTCCTTTTAAATGTGAAGGCTGAGTGATAGACAGAGAATGAGAGCTGGAATAAGAGCTGCAATATCTAAACATGAGTCTTAGGGATGGGGGGGGGGTGTAAGGGTAAAGCCAGATTAGATCAAATGTCCGAGGATTAGCAGAGACTCACTGACAGCTCTGTGTTATTGTTCTGATGTTGACAGATGTTCACCATTAGGGAACATTCAGATGACATTTTGCAATAAACGAGTGTTAGTTGAACACAAACTGCAGCAGTTATCATGAAGAGGAGACAGCAAGAAGAGAGTCTCTGGAACTATTTGACAGCGGGCTGATCATGGTTAACTGTTGTAGGGTACATTAGGCCCAATAATACAGATGATTCGAATCGGCTGGTTCCTTTATAGTCAGCATGGATAGTGAAGCATGTGTACAGGTGACTTCTCTTTTTGGAGAAGTGTAATCGTTTTCTTACAGAAAATGTTACTTGATGCCTCATATGTGTTTTATGATTATCATTTTCTTTTCTTTAAAGCACGATCGGAGGAGCAGGGCTGTCCACAGATGCAATTCTAAACAATATATTGAGCTAGCAGCAGCGTTTCCGCCAGGGGTCCGTCTTGCCGTCATTTGACGCCCTTATTCAGCTCGGGAAGCCCTGAACGCGAGCCGAGGGCGTCCAAAAATATTAATAATTCGAGAGAAGAGTTTTTATCGTTTGAAATGACGAAAAAGGACAAGGACATCTGGTGGGATTCTTTTCAGAGTATTGAAGATCGTTTCCCCGACATCGAAGGTGCCTGCTACAGGACAACACGGAACGTGCGCGATTTGGACGCCCCGAGCGGGGGGGTTTTAGTGGAGCACGCGCGTGAGCTGCGAGCACCAGAGCCTCGCAGCGGCGAAACTGAGGCTCCGTGGTTAACTGTGGTAACATGAAGAGCCGCTTGGGAGCCGTAACAGCCGGCGCTTTAAGAGAGCAGAGCCAAATGATCCGGCTCACTAACGTAAAATGACAGTAGCTATAAGGACGGCTCAAGTCAAAATTCAAACCCCCCCCCCCGCTCTCGGGGTGGACGCCCTCTCAGCCCTGGTCTGGCGGAAACACTGTGCAGCACATTATTAAATTAACCTTTAGTTATTTAGTACTTCCTAGACAACACCATCATTACCCTCTATCTGTAACATGTGAACCACACTTTCTTTATATTCAAATACTGCTCTTTCTAAGACAGCAGTTTTACTATAAATATATTTTTTGTAACACTGCAGTATTACAGTCAAGGAACAGCAACTTAGTTAGTTCTCAGGTTTCAAGCAGGATTGTGGAGTAAGCATTAGATAAGAGCAGTTGTGTATGAGTTAGTTTGAGGGTCTGTTGCAGTGCAGCCACTGACCCGCTCCAGTTCGATGTTGAAGTTCTGGCCCCACGCCTCTTTACCAAGAGGCCTCCACTGGGAACGCCCCACGATCCTGTTGTCCACCTTCAGCACAGCACTGATTTCCGCTGACAGACACAGAACAAATATATTGTATGATAAGAAAGAGAGCAGCATTGTTTGTTGTCATGGTGACAGCCATATTCTTCCATAATTAAGCTTGGTGAGCAGTATCATTTTTTGCTTTTAAAGCCCCCGACCCTCAATATCTATATCTGTCGTTTGTAGTTAGGTATATCTCTATCAGTTACATTTATATCATTTCAGTTTTACTGCATTGAGTAGTTTAGGCCACATGTCAAAATATTCGTAAGACTTGTTATAGGCACTAAGATCCATTTCATTTGAATGAAATGGATAGTTTACATTTGAATGAAATGGCTAAAACTCACCTTGTCAGACAAGCTTTTAATGTGTGATTGATGTCGTGTCATTGTGACAAATGTGGTTTTATTGATCGATATTCATTTGACTTTTAATCTTAATTTTTACCTCTGTAAAGCGTCTTTGAGCACCTGATAAAGTGCTTCATAAATCAAATGTATTATTATTATTATAATGGATTTGCTAGGATATTATTAATGTATGCAAATACCGTTTATTTTATGTGTGTGTGTGTGTGTGTGTGTGTGTGTGTGTGTGTGTGTGTGTGTGTGTGTGTGTGTGTGTGTGTGTGTGTGTGTGTGTGTGTGTGTGTGTCCTACACAGATCCAGATTCCACCCACAGGAACTCATACAAACCATAAATACCAGGAGACCAAATGAAATGTAAACATAGCTGCTTGACTTTCATGAAGGGAGGTAATATGACCTTAAAAGTGTTGGTTGCAGTTTGACTTACAGGACAGCTCCTCAGTCTTGGTTGTCTTGCCGTTGGCGCTTCGTCCGGACAGGCCGGCCTTCACCTTCACAGTCTTCCCCTCCGAGAGACTCCCAGAGGAGGAGGAGGCGCTGGACCCACGGTCCCGGCCCGGAACATACTCCAACAGGTCCTGGCAGCCCATCAAACACACCTCCAAACGCCCTGTGGGAAAGAGTCACAATTAACAAATCATTTAAAAATAATTGCTGGGAATTTCTTCAGTGGTGGAACAGGTACTCTTATCAAAGTAAAAGTACCGTTATCCATCAATGCATAGGTGTTGCTGTGTTGGTTAAAATAAGTAAGATGATGGCTGGGAAAGAAGAAAAACAAATACACATATACTATATATATATCCCGTGGGGATTTTGTAAGTTTGCCCAGCTAAAAATAAATGAACAGTCTATCATTTTAATGGTAGGTTTATTT